ATATAAGGTGCTTTTCTAAGCTCTCTCTCCTCGCCCCCTGCACTTCCCCCCTTCTTCCCAATCAATCGGCTCAAAATTGAGTTGCTGTGAGGGCACGGGGGCTCAGCCTGTACTTTGTATGTTGATGTGGTTGTCCCATTTACTGCTATTTGTACGTTTTTTTTTTTTTTTTCAATTACGAACTGCTTTTCTGGTACCTCTCCTTGGGCGTGGTCCCACTAGCAAAGAGGATCGGATTGCATGCCTGAATCTGGACGAGTTTATGGAGATGTGCAGGAAATCGAGATTGAACTGCTTTTTTATGCAGCTCTGCATAAAACAATGTCATCCAGATTCAGGAGCTCGATCCTATCCTTTTTGCTACGGTCTTCACCCGAATAGAACACCCAGTAATTATCGCCGTATCTGGCCTGAAAGTTGTGCCAAATACAGCTATAATGACCGGGCGGCCCTGGACCTGTTTCTTGTCCTGTTACTAACGAGTAAGGAAAGTCTATCAGAAATGCGTGCCTACCAAAAAATGAGCCAACCGTCTTCACCCGAACTGAAAGCTGCACCAAATACAGATATAATGACGGGGCGTTCTATTCGGGTGAAGAGGGTAGCTCAGTTGGTACCTAGGCTACCAGCCGGGCCGCCCGGGTCACCCTATTTCCCCGGGCGGCCCGGCCGTGCAAGGACCAGGGACGGTCCCGGCCAAAAAAAAAAAAAAAAAAAAAAACCCCGAAAAAATCCGAAAAAAAACTATGTTGTGCAGGGAAAAATAAATTGAACAACTTTTGCCTCAGGGTCACATCGAAATTCTGTACCAAATTTAAAATAAAAATTTCAATTAAAAAATATTCTTTATTTTTTTTATTCCTTTTTGGCCCGGCCGGGCAAGTGGACCCGGACCACACTGGTAGCCTAGGTTGGTACACAAATGGACTGTTGAAAACTTGAAATACAGACCCCCTTCACCCAGTTGGTACAGGAATGAACTGTTGAAAACTTGAAATGCAGACCCAGGTTCGAATGGTGATGGACATAGATAGATGTGATGAAATAAGACTATATACTCACACTAGGCCCTCAAAATCACAAAATAGCAAAATGAGTGGCCAGATGCAGTCGTTCCTTTACAAGGACTCAATCTGGCCACTCATTTTGTGATTTCACAATTTTGCGGACCTAGTGTGAGTATGCCCTAACTCTGAATTACCCGGGCCTGGAGCCTCGTCCCACTAGCATCGATTAAATCGGTGTGTGGCAGCTTTTCCTTATTTAAAAACGCATAAACAATGCTATTTTTCATTTACAGGAATGCAAAGAAAAGGACCCAAAAACGAAAAATTACGGGGCCTGACATCGACATCATGACAGAACTTCAGTGCATCCACACTTCCACCAACCCGGTACATCTGCATGCGACCTTCCCGCCGGCCTGTTCGCAGTCTTCGACCGAAATCTCAATATTCTCTATTTTTCCACAAAAAAAAAGAAGACAACATCGATGCAAAAACGCCCCCCCCCTCCGACCTCCCTAATATTGCAGCTTCGCGCCAATGCAAAGTGGCTACCTAAATGGCAAAAAACTTGTAAACGAAACTCTTCTATTGGCCGGCGGACTTTCCCCGTTACGAATTCTGTCCTCATCGCCATGCGCCGAAGATACACAAAAGGATCAACGGTCGCCGGATGTCACCTCTGGCCGCACGTCGTCGAAAACCCTGGCTCCGAAGAGTAAATCGATGCTAGTGGGACAAGGCCCCTGGTCACTTCGATGATGATATCTGAAGGCCGTTGCCCTTTTTAAAAAAAAAAAGGAAAATAGAAATGCTTGGCCGGAAAAAAAAAAAAAAAAAAAAAAGCTTGCCCGGTTGACCTTTGGGACTGGTGCACAGAGAAGTGAATTGCAAGATGCACTGCAGTGCTGAAGGGAATGGTGTCTCCCTTCTGATTGAGTGAACTGAGTTCAGCTGCATGTTGCTGGTCAGCAAGATAAGCCAGGTTCAGTCGCCCGGACCTTGCATGTGGCTGTCTCTGAGAGGATGGGAATGGTGTTTCTCTTCTGATCTAGCAGTGCATGGCAGCCATATGACTCTTGGGTTTAGTTGCATGATCCTGCTCCGTTACATAAACCAGTTTTTTTTATGTCGCATGGACCTTGGCGGTTGAGTGTGCTAGGTTCTGTTTCACTCATCTGATGGAGGTTCCCGGTACTTCCCTACTCGGTTTTCACAGTGTTAGTGCCAAGTGCAGTCTCTGGTGAACTGGCAGGATATGTAGGTCCGCATTCGGGACTCCACTAGCTCACAGTGTTTTCAATTTCTCAGCTGTGTCCCTAAACTGTACCAAGTCTTACCCATTAGCACCAGTTCAAACCAGGGGAAGAATTAGCAAGCTGTGTACCTGCCTCTATATGTGTGTGTGTGTGTGTGTGTGTGTGAGAGTGAGAGTGAGTGTGAGTGAGAGAGAGAGAGAGAGAGAGAGAGAGAGAGAGAGAGAGAGAGAGAGAGAGAGAGAGAGAGAGAGAAGAGGACTGGACTAATTTTGTGCACTTTTCCACAAGCACGTCCACATTCAGGTGTTAAATCCAATCCTTTTCGCTATTGGGACCTTGCCTCCAATTGGACCTTGCTCTCAATGTCAGACTCCACCTGGCCCGTGAAGAAGTGGTGGAGTCCAGAGAGTCACACAGAAGCGACATAGCCCGTAATCGAATGTCATCACGCCGAGAACGGATGGATTTAACGGTTGCGCACTCACTCATCTATCAGGCAATGACAGCTGTCGAGTTAAGTCCACCTGCGCCATGAAGAGTTAAGAGGAGCACAGATGGATTTGGGGCAACTTTCAGACCAGATGCAGCCATAATGACTCCGGGTGTTTTATTCGGGTGACAAAGCAGGTGACTAATGTAATCGGTAGGGCATGCTCTACCTTCTTCCCCCAAACATAATGCATATGCGTTGTATTCGAGTTTTCAAAAAAAATAAAATAAAAAAAAAATGAATAGAACGCAACGCGTATGCATTGTATTCGAAAATAAGGGCTGTTCCAATAGAACACATGTGCATTCTAACTATGTGGTGGTGATACTAAGTGAAAGCTGGGCTACCAGCCATGCCGCCCGAGTCCCCAAAGCTGGCACGGGACCTGCCCGGGACGCCTGGCCGGGCAACTGGGCCGGGGGGCCTCCCGGCCAATATCTCACCCCCCTCCCCCAAAAAAAAAAGAAAAAAAAAAAATGTTGTACAGAATAGCAAACCAAACAACTTTTGGCTGAGGGTCACTTCCAAAGTCTTCACAGATTTTGAAATAACAATAAAATAGTGCAAGGAAAATCATCTCACCCCCTTTAAAGGCCTTTCAACCCCTTTCAAGCCCCTTTAAGACCCTTACCTCCCCCCCCTTCCCCCCCCGACCCTCCAAAACGACACAAACTGGAAAAAAGAAAGACCGGATTTGGGTCCCTCTTTGTTACATCTTCGACTCACACGGGTCCTACCGGACCCGACTTAGGGCTGGAGGGACACACCAGGGCCTAAAGGCCCGACCTTTGGGGTTTACAGGCCCTAAAGGCCTGAGTTTGGAGTATCACCCATCGGGTAGGCCCAAACGACACTTCATTTGGGCCTGGCGGCGCTCTTGAAGCTGCCGACCGCCGATTGAGGCTGAACTGTCCATCTGGACGGTTCAGGGTCTGGCCTGGCCTCGCAGCATTGAGGCCAGACCATTGCCCACCGGTATAAGTACCGGTATCCGCCTCAGTAGTGGGATTGGCCTACCGGAACTCTACCGGCACGGCATGGTCAGTGCTAGTGCACTGTTTGATGCGCTAAACTTAGCGCAGGGGCTGAAGCAGGAGCGCAGCATAGCGCAGCAGCGAGCGGAGCAGCAGCGGGCGACTGAGCTTGCACGGCGGTTATCACCGCCTGAGGTATCGGGAGCTTGGAGGGTCTCTCCTCCTCTCCCTTGCCAGTCCCCTCTCTCTCTCTCTCCTCTTCCTCCTCTTCCTCCTCCTCCTCCTTTTCTTCTTCTTCTTCTTCTTCTTCTTCTTCTTCTTCTTCTTCAGATTGGAGACTATCCAGTTGGACAGAGATCAGAGTTGGATTTTGGTGATACGAGACTGTGGTACTTACCTGATTGGAGACTTGGAGATCGTTGAGGTTGATACTCGGCTGCATCACAGTTGGACACCGGTTACATCTGGACTCTGTTATCTCCGACATTGGTGACCTTTGGTCCTCGACATTTTGATCTTGTTATATGACATTCTGGACTACCATTTCGGAGACCTATCAGACTCTATCTTTGTGACCTATCGGTGTGATCTACCTCCCACCTCCTTCGTCTCTCCTCCCACCTTTCATCTGTGTATGTGTGTGGAGTGATGCCATGTAAGTCAGTTGGTGTGAGTCAGTCTATGTGAGTTAGTTCGTTATCAGACTTGCGCTGCATAAATGCTCATCCTATATTGGTTGATCTTTGGTTCTGCCCATACTCATTGAAGTATGTAACACTCTTGGAGGGCACAAAATTGCCCCATGATCAGGGGAGAGGGGGGGGGGGGGGRGRGWTTTGTYTWTTTTTTTMCTCSCCCRGGKGMCCCGGGCAAGAGGGTCCAAGTCGCACTGCCCCGGCTGCCCGGCCGGGCGCCCAGGCCCGTGTGCGGGTCTGGTAGCACAGAGTGAAAGCCTATATCGCTTAGTAGCTGGCTGATCTAAGGAGTACCAAGTGGCAACTATGTGATTTCTGGCTTAGTGTCACAAAGCAATATATATACATATATATATGAGTCGGTGAAACTCCGACGAAACAGTTTGTCACAGCCCCTCGTTTGTTGTCCTCTTCTCCCTCTCTGCCTACGGTTTTACCGGGCAGTTCTATTTGACGATATATACTACGACTTCGCTAGCTTCCTGCTACGGTTTTCTCCGGTCAGGTCGAGCGGCAGTGGTCGGGGCCGTCACTACGCGGCCATGCTGTGCCTCTAGTGCCAGCGGCGTGTCTGGAGTGTATTTTTTGGCTGTGACAGACCTTTCTTTGTTTCGTGGATGTTTTGCTGGCTTGTGATGGGGTGTGAACCGACAGTCTGTAGAGTTTTCCATCTGGTGTGGGTGAGTGATAGTCTACTTTGATTTTGGTTAAGGTAGATTATCATTTACAGTGTAATCAGTGAGGGGATTCTGCAGACTGTTGAGGGTTCAGCCTCCTGATGAGTCGGTGAAACTCCGACGAAACAGTTTGTCACAGCCCCTCGTTTGTTGTCCTCTTCTCCCTCTCTGCCTACGGTTTTACCGGGCAGTTCTATTTGACGATATATATATATATATATATATATATATATATATATATATATTATATATATATATATATATATATATAAACAGTTTGTCACAGCCCCTCGTTTGTTGTCCTCTTCTCTCTCTATGCCTACGGTTTACCGCGCAGTTCTGTTTGTGACGATATATATATATATATATTGACGATATATATATATATGACGATATATATATATATATATATCACCTCCCGCTTTACTCTTGCCTCTTTCTTACAGCGTACAAGTGGGCCGTTATGGCACAAGGGGATGCGGGCGAGCTCGCGCGCAACTCCATCAAAGTGGCGAGCGAGCCTTGTATGCGAGAGGCACGGCGAAATGGGGGAGTTAAAAGAAGAATGAGAAAAATTAAGGAATAGTTTCAGTGCGCCCCTCATCTTTGTTTTTTGTTTTTTTATCTTTAGCGTTTGTTTTGAAAGGCCTTCCACGATTCAGACCCTCAATTCGAGTTCAGCATCAAGGTCTTATGCCAAGACGGTCAGTTTCAGATAGAGAAGTCACAGTCGGGTGGGTACCTTAGGAGTAAAGTCCAACAGGCAACCTGTAAACTGTCGTCACAGTCACAGTCGGGCAAAGGTTGCATTCTACAAGCAAACGTCACGTCTCATAATGAAAAGTCGTATCATATTGAGAAGTCACATCGCACGGGCAGAGGACACTTCCCCAGGGCAAAAGTTGTGTCCCAGAGGTTTTGACTGTCGTGAGTCACAACCCACAGTCAAAAGTCATGTTCCACAGGTGAAAAGTCGTGACTCACAGGCCCAAGCAGCAGCACACGAATGAAAACTCGTTCGGGAAAAGTACCAGGCCCTGACATTCTGAAGCAAACAGGCTGTGGGAATGTGGTACCAGAACCAAGTCAAGCCCCAAGAAGCAGAGGCTGGGAGGAGTTGAAGCTCAGTCCAAGAGAAAATAAGGACTGGCCAGCCTCCTCATTTCGGCAGATTGCTCATTCGCATGAAGTGTGGAAGTGCTGGGGCACTTGTGCGCTATTGGGAAGAGCAGAGCACTGAGCCAGGGTGCTGCGCTAAATGAGAGAGAGAGAGAGAGAGAGAGAGAGAGAGAGAGAGAGAGAGAGAGAGAGAGAGAGAGAGAGAGAGAGAGAGAGAGCTGGCAGGGTGAAGGGAGCCATAGCTGCGCCAGTGCAGAGTGTTAGTGCTAGTTAGTGGGAGTTAGTAGACATAGTAGCAGTGGGTGTATCCAGAGTAGATCCTTGTGTTTAGTGAGTGTGAATGGATGTAGGGAGAGAAGATACAGTGAGGACATAACTAGAGAGAAGACCAGCGAGAGAGAGAGAAAGACAGAGAGAGAAGAAGAGCTGGAAAGGGATACTTACCTGAGAGCTGACACTGCTCACTGATTACCTGTGTATTCGTTGACGAGCACTGGTGACTTGAACTCTCACTGCTCTTGTGATAATTTGCTGGAAGTTATAAGCTGCGCTCTCTGGTTTTCGACTCTCTAGCATCCAGTGTGGAAATTCGAGCCCTCTCACTTGTGCTTGATGCATGTCTATGTGTGCACTCACTGGTGATGAACTGTGCGGTTCATCGCAGTTTCCCAAAGTGCCCTCTTTTTTTTTTTTTTTTTCGTTTTCTTAGTTCATTGTTATGTGGCAATATATACCGGTATAAAGTGCCCAGCATAGTACCTTCAACGATGTGGTGGTCGTACCGTGCTACTATGTTAGTATGTGGTGATGGTACTTAGTGAAAGTGTATGTCTTAGCAGCTGGCTGAATGCGCAGTTACTGAGCGGTAACTCTGTGTGTGCCGAGTTTAGTGCCGAGTTTAGTGCCGAGTTTAGTGTCTTAGCAGCTGGCTGATATGCGCAGTTACTGAGCGGTAACTCTGTGTGTGCAGAGTTTAGTGCCGAGTTAAGTGTCTTTGCAGCTGGCTGATATGCGCAGTTACTGAGCGGTAACTCTGTGTGTGCCAAGTTTAGTGCCGAGTTAAGTGTCTTAGCAGCTGGCTGATATGGGCAGTTACTGAGCGGTACTTGTATTCTATGAAATTTGATTAAAGTCAAAATCATTCAGTTGTTTGTTTGATTCTATACTGTTTTAATTCTTCGATGATTTGATCATTCAGATACTACGTGAGAATAGAGATGGTTCTCCCTTTGTTTGTTTTTTTTGGTTTAGAAAGGGGAAAAGGGAGAAGAGAAAAGAAAGACATGTCCCATGCTACGTCCTTTGTTTTTTTTTTTTTTTTGGCTTAGAAAGGGGAAAAGGGAGAAGAGAAAAGAAAGACATGTCCCATGGGCCCGAATGGTACACGGAACTGCATGCATGGTTCACCCCTGTGGTACTGCAAGTTTTTTTTTTTTTTTTTTTTTAATTAACAGTGGTTCTGCAGCAACTGCTTCATTTTGGTCCTTTTTTTTTTCTTTTTTTTTTTCTTGCCTGTTTCTACCCCTTACCCTGTCTTTGCTTTTCTTTTTCCTTTGCAGATTCACAAGTAGCTGTTGCTAAACAGATACTTGTGTTCAAATCCTAGAAGCGCGCAAAGGAGTAGGCAAGTGTAGCGGAGTGTTGCCAACCGGCGGGGTTGATTCCCTCCCCCCTCTTGTTGTACATGTTTTTGGCCAGGAGGTTTGGAGGGTAGAGGAAGGTAGACGATGACTTCTCGCCATGTTGTGTTGAAGTTTGGCGCATCCAATTTCGCATTGGATGTGTTTCCAGAGGAGGGTGTGGAAATATTCAAGTTCCAAGTCTTCTCCTTGACAGGGGTCCCGCCCGAGGAGCAGAAGCTCTTTGGACTTACCGTGACACCGCTTCCCGATGACGCGGACTTGCGCTCTCTCTTGATAGCAGACGGACAGGAAGTTATCCTCGTCGACAGGAGCGGAGAAGACGGTAATGCCATTGAAAAAGCTGTAGATGGAAGTGCACAGAATCAGGCGCCGACTCGATCGGCAGGACACAGTGGCACAGCCGTATCGCAATCGGTGTCGCAATATGAGCTTCTGGCAAAGCAGCTGCAAGATGAGAAAGACGCAGCTGCACTTGTAGCAGCAGCAGCAGCAGCAGCAGCAAAGGAAATGTTGCATTTGAATTCACACTCACAGGATCGGGCTTATCGTAGTTTTGATGGAAGGGGTAGGGAAGATATACCTGTTGATGTCCTTAACTCGGCATTGGCAAAGCCGATCGCCCGGAGACTGCGTCAGTACATCCGTGCCGCGCGACAGTATGAGGACCCCATTAAGCAAGCGCTTGCGCTGTCTGTTGTTCCATTGGAAGAGCTGGAGGAGAAGGCGGCCGTTCAAATCTTCACGAAGAAGGGCATTTCTTTGCCCAGTGAGGACTTGATGAGGGATGCCCTGTTGGAGGCACTTTTGCATTGGTTCAAAGGATGGTTTAAGTGGGTGAATGCCCCCTGCTGCAGCTTTTGCGCAGGCCCAACCCGGATTATCGGTCACTCGACAGGAAACGAGGAAGAACTGAAGCATGGCGGGGAGCGGGTTGAAGTGTATGGCTGCGGATTGTGCCAGACGGTGACGCGTTTTGTGCGATACAATGATCCCGCGAAGCTGCTTGAGACAAGATGTGGTCGTTGCGGGGAATGGGCCAACGCATTCACTTTGATCTGCAGAGCCTTGGGCTACAATGCCCGCTGGGTGGTGGATTGGATGGACCACGTTTGGACAGAATGCTTCTCCAATCATCTTGGAAGATGGGCTCATTGCGATCCATGTGAAGAGGTGTTTGATCGTCCCCTTCTTTACGAGAAAGGATGGGGTAAACAGCTGTCGTATGTGTTTGGCTTTGGCGGAGATGGATGCGTGGACGTCATCAAGAGGTACACACGCGCATGGTCGGAGGTTTCCCGCCGGCGGTGCGAGATTTCGGAGTTGGAACTGGAGGTTCTGTTGAGGCACCTGAGAAGAGAAGTTCGCAACGGGTTGTCGGCAGCGGAGCAGGAGCGCCTTCGCATAGCGGATGAGCAGGAGAAGGAAGAGATGGAGAGCTCCTACTCAGGGAGATCCGAATCGCTTCCGGACGAAGAGCAAGTCCTACCTGGTCGGCAGTCGGGTTCGGAGGAGTGGCGTGTGGCAAGGGGAGAAACAAACTCGAAAGACGCTGCTGTAAGAACAAGGAAGAAGTCCTCAGCAATGGCAGCTCGCGATCACATCGTTGGCATTGTGTTCAATCGACTGGGACAGATCGTAAAGAATCTGATCGCCAAACAGTATCGTCATGATGATGCAGCTGCATCGAAGACGGACTCTGAGACAGACCGCGGTGTCAAAGATTCCCCTAACGATGTGTCGTATTTGAAGGAAGGATCGGGCATTTTGCTTGGCAAACTGCAAGCTGTAGTTTCTCTCTTTGAGGAGCTCCTCAAGGATATGGGCCGGCAGCCGTACAAAAGCAGGTCAGTTCACTTATGCGCATCGAGACTGGAGGTCGCGCCGGGGTTGCTCGATCTCTTTGCCGACTTGGGTGTTACCTTGCAGAGTGCATCGGATTGCGATCCCAAGGACGTGATTCTGAAAGTGGATGGGTCGTTAGATATCGGACCAGCCATTCGATTGGCGGTCGCCGTTCCTGTGATTGCCACGGCGATCGAAAGACTAAGACGATCGCTGAGCAGCGGGCAATTTGAAGGACAAAGGGCTCCTGCCGGCGACGAGGTTGCTCGGGCGTTGGAGGGCACCAAATGGTTGCTGCAAGGAGAGAGAATTTGCGGAGGTATGGTTGTTGTCAGCGGAGAGAATGGTCCCTCTGAGATAGGCGTCAAGGCATTCGATGGCCTGCTGTCCACCAAATGGCTGGATTTTGGAGGCAAAGACGGATCGTCTTGGATATTGTACTGTGCTGCAGGTGGACAACCTAGAAAACTGGTCGCATACGAACTTACTTCGGCAGAAGACTGTCCGGAGAGAGACCCTAGAGACTGGGTGTTAGAAGGGAGTCAAGATGGAGGTTCATCATGGCACTGCTTAGACGAACGGAAGAACGTTCTGTTCTCGGGGCGAAACACAGCAAAGCTCTTTGAGGTCCATACGGACTCCCAGATGGCCTCTTCGACATACAGGCTTCGCTTCACGGCCGTGAGAGACCCTTCATCTGCGAACAGCCTACAAATCTGTTGCATCGACCTTTTCGCCGCTCCGGATGGAAAAGAGATCGCATGACGATTGCCGTTCCAATATCGTTGATGTCATCTTTATTCCTCTTCAGAGTGGAGAGCAATAGCTAAGAGTGGCGGTTGTTTCTCAGGTCAGCGAAAAAGCTTTACGAGAAGAAGAGTCGGGATTTCAGTCGCTGCACTGATCGTTTTTGTTTTTGTTTTTGTTTCCCTTCCCTCCCCTCCCCCCCCCCCCCCCCCCTTCTTTGGATTAACTGTTACCGTCTTTGCGCCGGTTATATAGATTGGAGGTCAAGACGTTGCCTTCAACCGCAACAGTGGTCTTTGAATTTGACCATTGCCGGTCAAATATGGATGATGTAATCTATGTTTGTGTTCATAGTGGAGAGCTATACAGAAGGATTAATCTTTTGTGTTCAACCGCAACAGTAGCACTGTGACAGTGGTGCGACCCACAGGTGAAGAGTTCAAACTTCAAATTTCGGTCCCCGGTGAATTTCATAATGTGAGGGAGTGACAGGGACTCAAATGAAATTTCACTTTGGAAGAATCTTCTGATAAATGCGAAGATTGAATGTCGACAACGTGCAGGCAGAAGCGCTTCCCCGGCGCTACCGAGAACTGTCTGCTGTCGTGAATCCCCTTTTTCTTTTTTAACGAATTCTATGCTTGGCAGTGTTTGAGAAAACTGCATTAAATTTTCCCTTAAACCACTAGTACCTTTGCCGCGTGGGGAAATAGCGGGCCTCGGGTGGGCCTCCGACCTTTTCGGATGGCCGAAACGAAACGACGGCCGCCGATCAGATTTATCAATGGCAGCCGTCGTCGGGCCCGGCCTCTGAATTTTCAGGAGTTTGGGAAAACGTCCACTTTTCCCTAATTTCACAACACTGGTGGAGGTACTAGTGAGGCAAATCCGTTGAGACAACTTGAGACCTGATCGATCAATGTGTGTAAGGTTTATTGTTTTTTTTTTTTCTACATTGAATTCATCAATAATATTGCCCTCCTCTGACTCCTCTCCCTACACAAGCGGAGAAAGCGGGTCCATTGTAACCCACCGCCCGCTGGGGCCGGCGGGGAAAGTTGGAGGGCATGGCGCCTGGGACATGGTGCTCTGCACTGCTGCGTGAGGCCTGTGTTGTTCTCTGTTTGTAATTTTTTGTGCTTTTTTTTTATGTGGGCCTGATCATGCTGTGCATGCATTCGAGGCTTTTTTACGTCTACATTCGTGCATTGGCAGAGGTGTCCAACTTGTCCCTTTGCCATGCTTTCTTTCTTTTGGCCTCGTGGCGGTGCACTGGCGGAATCCAGCTTGCTTCTTCCCCCGCCCCCAGACTTTTCTCCCTCTTCTTTTCTCTTGCGGCGCTGAAAAAAACAGCTATGGACTTGTATGTAGATAGCTGGTGGATTCTGTACACAGCTATCTATATACAAGTCCATATCTGTTTTTTTTCTGGGGCTGTCTCTTATACACATCTAGATGTGTATAAGAGACAGTACTACCACCCTGCGTGCAGGACCATCCATCCGATGGAGTCCCCCGCCAGCCAAACAGTATCACCATCCCACATAGCACTAGCAACCACCCTCCAACTGACATTTCGTCAAACCACCAGGTCATGCCAACGATCCGCCGGAGGCCCCTTTCGAAGGCCGCTCAACTTGGCTGGGGCCATGGAACTGGTGGTTTAAAACGGACATTGTTCTTTTTCAATTTTTTTTGTAAAATCGCAAAATTGAATTCTGTGAAAAATTGAAAATGGATTATTAGATTTTTTGTGTAAAGTCGTGACTTCCGTTTCGTATTGAGTACGCGAGAACTAACATTTCGCTAAAACAGTAAAACTGACATTAAAAAAAAAAAGTCACGAAAATTGACGAAATTGAATTCAGTGAAAAATTGAAAATTGCTTAGATTTTTTTTATTTTTATTTTTATTTTTTGTGTGTGTAAAATCAGGACTTCATTTCGTATTGAGTAAGTGTATCACTTAATAGGAAATGGAAGTCACGATTTTACAAAAGAACTGACATTTCGTTAAAACTTAAAACTGACATACTTTTGTAAAATCATGAAATTGAATTCAGTGAAAATTGGTACAATCATGACTTTAAGTTCGGATTGAGTAAGTGAAAACTGATTATTATTATTTTTTTTTTTGTGTGTAAAATCGTGACTTCCATTTCGTATCGAGTAAGGGGGCGCGTTGTTTTAAAAAAAAAAGAAGAAAAAAAAAAGTGTACCACTTACTCAATACGAAATGGAAGTCACGATTTTACTCCAAAAAAATCTAATCAATTTTCAATTTTTCACTGAAATTGACTGAGTTCAATTTCCATGATTTTACAAAAAGAAATGTCAGTTTTAACAAATTGTCAGTTTCAGCGAAGTAGTGCGATCCGCTCCATGTAGTACTACCCATGCCACATGGTACTACCACCTACGCGCTACTACCACCTAGCACATAGTGCCACCCGGTCGACAGAGAGCTACCCAGCTTACATGGTACTCCCTTACCCAAGTAATGCCATTCACCCCAGATAGAACATGATCCCCGTATAGTACAGCCCCCGGACATAGTACCATCCGGCCCTGGTAGTCCACCCATGCACACCTAGTTCACATAGCAACAAGGCAGCGAGGCGACAAGGCAGCGAGGCAACAAAGCAGAGAGGCAACAAGGCACATGGGATCACAAGCAGCAAGGCAAGGGTGAGGCAACAAGGCACTGGAAAAGAGGCAGCAGCAAGATGTTATGAACATGATTGTCCGTTGAAATTTTGTCAACGCTCACTCACAGGAACTCCCACACACGCCCATACACGTACAGAAGGAAGGGGAGAGGTAGTGGAGTGTCGCACCCCCCAGCAGAAGAAACGCAGCGGAACACTCAGAAGAGCGAAGTGACAGAATACACAACACGGTGGATTCTCTCCACAGAAGTCCCAACAATCAGTCATGGAAGACAACCGAGAGATCACAGCCAGAAATCATTGAAGAGATGACAACTCAGACACAGTATTAAAACTGTTTATTAAACTCAGAGCATCGTTCCACTGAATAAACTCAGAACCCTGTTGCGCTACCCTGAGAAGGGTAGCGCCTCAACCCCACACACTCTGAACAGCTAAAAATAGCACTAGAACCCCAGGTGACACCCAGTGCCACCCTGACATCCAACTCAGTGGCCTGCGCCAGTATGAAACAAGCTCCCGGAGCCAATCGCCACTCAGATGATGAAGAAGAAGCCCAGCGCCAACAGTCTCTGATGAAGATGAAGTCCAGATGATGATAATCTTCGAGAAGATGCAGCTATGGCTGCATCGCCACTGGGACCCTACTCCTGAGGAGGGTCAGCAGTGCACCACGTGCTCCCACGCATCAGACCTCCAATAGCCCCGACCGCTTTGACTCCCAGAGCGTCAGAGCAGACAGCGTTGACCCCAGTCTGGTCAGCGCTCTGAAGGTCAGGCTATGTCCGCTGTCTCCCACGCATGAATCAGTCACCCCGACCTGATGCTGCATGCGCAGCAACTCCCACCACGAAGTGTCAACTGCCAAAAGCCCTGGACCGATGCTCTCAACCTATCTATACTCTACCCAGGCCTAGACTCGACCTAGACCGGACTGACTGACTGACCGGTACCGTTTCTGTTTCGGCCGCTTGGGCCTCTCCCTACCCGGCTATAGGCTATAGGACCGTCTATCAGCGTAGGCCCATCGGGCCTGTCTGTCCTAAGGGGTAGCCCGGGTCTGCTATTCGCAGTTAGGGTAGCTGTAGGAAATTCTAGTTAGTACGGGGCCCATATTTCCTATATTCACAAATATGTCCCTCACAAATTTTCCTTACAGGTAGGTCTCTCGGTTAGCCCTCAGCCAAAGCAAATTACGAATCCAGCCCTACCTATGGTACAGCCTCGTCAGAGAGAGGCTACAGGCAACTTGGAACCAGCAAGTCATTGCAGACCTACCCTCCCCTGGAGTGAGGGCCTCCGAGCTAGGGGCGTAGGCGTGCAGAGGGTCGAAGGGCTCTCCCCTTTGCGCAGCCTCGTATTCGAGGATAACAGACTTTGCGTTTTTCAGAAGCTCCTTGCGAGTAAACCAGCGGTCCTCAAATACGAGGCTTCGCAAAGGGGAGAATCCCTTCGACGCTCTGCACACCTACGCCCCTAGCTCGGAGGTCCTCGCTCCGGGGAAGGGTAGGTCTGCAATGACTTGCTGGTTCCAAGTTGCCTGTAGCTTCTCTCTGACGAGGCTGTACCATAGGTAGGGATAGATTCGTAATTTGGTTTGGCTGAGGGTTAACCGAGAGACCTACCTGTAAGGAAAATTTTAAATTTGTGAGGGACATATTTGTAAATATAAGAAATATGGGCCCCGTACTAACTCGAATTTCCTACAGGTAGGTCTCTCGGTTAGCCCTCAGCCAAACCAAGTTACGAATCTATCCCTACCTATGGTACAGCCTCGTCAGAGAGAGGCTACAGGCAACATGGAACCAGCAAGTCATTGCAAAGAGACACAGGCTGGAGAGCACGGGGGAGGCAGGTGGGGTGGGCACAGCAGGTAGCAATGCCGTGAGACAACAAGGCAACAAAGCAACAAACAGTATCAACAAGGCATGCAGAGGACAATTCAGGAAGGAGTGACCCAATGCGCAGGGGGCAACAAGGCGGCAGTGTGACCCGACGAGAGGTGGGCAAAGGAAGCAAGGCAAGAGGGCAGTGAGACAACAAGGCACCAAGCCAGTGAGGCAGCAAAGCAGTGAAGCAACAAAGGCAGCGAGGCACGAGGCAACCGAATGACAAGGCAAGCAGCGAGGCGGAGACACGAGTATCAGGTCGCAAGGAAGCAAGGCAACAAGGCAGCAAGACAGCCGCCACGCACAAGGCAGCACCGACAATGCCGTCAAACTATATGGGAAACAGGAGGCCAGTGGTAAACGTCAAGCGGATGGGCGGCAAAGCAGCTGATCGCCACAAACAAGGTAGTCCACACAGCTGACAGGGATCGAAGCAGATCATCACCTACTCACACGGCAAGCAGGACTCAACAGATCCTGTACGTTCACACCACCATCGGACGCAGGGAGCCACTTCCACGAACGTCTGTCATCACGCAGAGACGACAGACACAGGCCGCACAGACAAAGAACCCCCCCTAAGGTTGTTCCAGGCATTCTAAACAAAAAGGTCAATCGCTATTTGGCACTGCTTAAAGGCGTTCACGTCGCCATAGAAGAAAATCCCTAGGAAGGACCAGAGGAGAAAACACAAAGTCGACAACGGAAAGGACAGATGGTGCCCGCGAACCACTCGTGACAAAAAGGGAATACTTAGAATGGGAAGAAGAAAACAACAAAAGGGGAGAGCTCAGAGCTATACATACATCTGATTTTGTGTGTGTGTGTGTGTGTGTGTGTGTGGGCGTGTGTGTGTGCTGTTGAATGAGCAGGAGAATGAGAGATTGAACCCGTGATGAGAATCGTGGTAGAGTTGCATTGTGGATCTGATCCTCGTTGTTGTAGGGTTTTCGTTTGACGGA